CTTTTCTTTCGCTTCTCTTCTTTCCTTTACTGCTTGAAACATTTCCGCTGTTATCCATTGTTTCTTCTCTTTGTTTTTGGCTACTGTCACTGTCTTTCTGCATTCTTCCTTGACTATGTCCTTGGCTTTTGACCATAGTTCCTCTGCCTCCCAGTCAATTATACTTTACAGAGCAAATCTATTTCTTACACTTTTTTGATATGATAGCTGTTTTGGTTTTCTTCAGTTTTATTCTAATTTTTGATATAAGTAGTTCATGATCTGTTCCACAATTAACACCTGTGCTAGTTCTGTCTGCTAGAATAGAGCTTCTCCATCTTCTGCTTCTGATTGTATAGTACAGGGGTCGGCAAGGGTTTTTACCTGGGGCCGGTCGCTGGTCCCCAGGTCCTAGGCCGAGCCAGGGGGGGAATGGCGGTGTGCATGCACGGCCCCCGCCAACCCCCACTGCCGCTGCCGCTGCGCCACTGGCACGCGCAGTGCAGCTGCCATTTTGTTTTCCAGAATGGCAGCCACAACTCATTTGCACATGTGCAGTACTCCTTCGCATGCGCAAATGAGTCGCAGCCGCCATTTTGGCAAACAAGTATCTGATTTGGCCATCAAAAGAAAGTGTGCTTAAGAAACCCAGTCCTGAAACACACAGGTCAAAAGGAGCAGCTTCCAGACATTTCAGGGGCATGGTGTGCCAATGACACAGGCCCCTGACATAGACAGAAACCGCTCTGAGGCCTCTGGCAAAAGGAGAAGTGAAAATTCACTCCTATTTCAGAGTAGACCATCCAGTCATCGGGGTCTCTAACCAATCACCAGGCAATCATGGCTGGAGCAACCAGAGGCTGTTCCAAGCCACCTATCTGCTCCCCCACCCTGATACATTAACCAGATTTGAATATGTACTGAGAGGAAAGAAGGAAGGAGGAAGAAAGAGCAAGAGCAAGTAAAGGGCAAACAGATTTCTTCCCTTAGACCAATGCTGTTCAAAGTCCTGCTCCGTGGACCAGTGCCAGTCCATGAACAATCAGCTGCTGATCCCTGGAGAGTTTTCAGAAAAGATAACGAACACAAATGGGGTGCCAGTATTTGGCACATGGAGGGGGGGATGCCAGTTACCTACATCAGATAACTTGAGATGTACTAAGCTAAAAGGTTGTGATGCTTTCCTCTGCCGTATAATATCTTCTGCACCTCTCCCTGGCACATGGATTATTAGTCCCCCACATTAGTTAGTTTAAGAAACACTATACTAGCTTAATGTGGTACATTTTATTTGTAATGATATGCTGTTTTGTTTTTGTTTTTTCAGTAGCAACAATTAAATAGCTGCTTTAGATCATGGCTTCTTGATTTGAGACTATTATATGTGAAGCTGTTTTGAGATGATGTAATAATCATTTGTACTGTTGTTGTTAACTGCCCTCAAATCGACCCTGACTCATGGCGACCCTGTGGATGAGACATTTCCAAGACCTTTGTCCTCCACTGCTCTGCTTAAGTCTTGTAGATTCAGGCCCATTACCTCCTTGATTGAGTCTAGCCGTCTGGCTCCTTCTACTACTTTCTACCTTTCCTAGCATTATTATCTTTTCTAATGAATCATACATTCTCATGATATAGCCAAAGTACAACAGCCTCAGTTTCATCATCCTGGCTTCCAGGGAGAGTTCAGACTTAATCTGTTCTAGGACCCATTTGTTTGTCTTTTTGGCCATCTGCAGTATCCTTGGCACTCTTCTCCAGCACCACATCTTAAATGAGTTGATTTTCTTCCTATCTGCTTTTTTCAGTGTCTAGCTCTCACATCTGTACACAAAAACTGTACATGGTGGTAGAGAAAACAATCACTTGGAGGATTTTAACTTTAGTGCTCAATTGTGTATCTTTGCTCTTTAAGATCTTCTCTAGTTCTTTCATCCTTCCCCTTCCTAATCTTATTCTTGAATACAGTCTCTGTTCTGATCAATGTGTGATCCAAGGTACGAGGAATCTTTAACTATTTCCTCATTGTCTAGGTTGAATTTTTGCAGATACTCCATGGTCATTAGTTTTGTTTCTTTATGTTCAGCAGCAAGCTTGTCTGGAGATATCTCATCCACAGGACTGCCGTGATTCGAAGTTGGCTTGAGGGCAGTTAACAACAACAAACAGGGTTACATACAAAATGAGCTAACAAAAAAGTGTAATAGTTTTCACTTACTGTTTCATAATACATCTTGCATTTGGATAAAGAGCTGTAATATTTTAAAATTCGGCACAACAGCAGATTAATATTCTTATTCGTACATAGAAATTGAAGTTCCTGCTCACACTTTTCCTTTAACAAATGTCAGGACTTCTGACCTTAATCTTCTTCACTGACTGACAGCAGCAACAAGAGCAAAGAAAAACCTAATTGTTTGTGATAGTCACATTTGTTCAACTTGATTCAATATGAACTATTTGCATATCCTTAAGTATCCCTTCTGAGAGGGTCTAAATCCTCCTCAAGGGTTTATTGCATTTTAATAATTAACTCATATTATCTACATGCAACAATGATTCTTGTTACTATTATTATGCATAATCTGACAGAAAAGAGTAGCACTCCCGCCCAAAAAACCGAGGTATTCTTCATAGATTACATATTACATTCTGACATTCTACTTGGCAAAAAGTGTCAAGCGCCTTTAGGAAAGGATGCCTGAATGTTTTGATAATGTTAATATACTTTACTCAAGGCAATTGATAACAGTGACATGATCGTCCTATTCAGACAATATTTAATAAATGGGCCACAGACTGGGTTGGAAGCTTGGCCAATTAGAATAGTCTTTGTTATGATTTCCCATGTTGCAAGGGGAACATAGCTTGATAGGCTTGAACACATTTTTTTATTTACAATGCACATGCTATGATATGATGGTGTTCCAACATAAAGGCCCATCAGGCCAATGCTGAAGGCAGACGGTCTCAATCACTGTATATACCTTGTTTTCCATAATACACGGTGCTCAACTTAACAAACAGAAAAAAAACCCAAATACTATAATTATGTGGCATTAATATGCAACATTAAATCAACTGTAAAACATGAAAGACATGAAAGGTTTAAATGAATATAATACACACCAGCAGGGCAGGTCACAATATCCAGCATCTATAATGCAAAATTGTATTTCCTAAGCAGGTTACTAAGAGACCTAACTGTAAGATAACTGAATTAAAATATACACCAAAAAGCTAAGGTGTTCCAGACATCCTATCATGAAAAAAGAGAAAGAGACCTTCCTGTCACCAGAGTCCCATGTCCTGAGTCAAGAAAAGACAGCTTTAGCCCCATGGAAACTTGTTGGATGGCCACAATTGGAAATAAATCAAAATGCTTTATTTTACATTTTCAACAACATATGATACAGATTGAATCTCCCCTTATTTGAAATGCTTGGGATCAGAAGTGCTTTGGATTTTGGATTTTTTTGGATTTTGGAAAACCTTTATTTGCATATATGTAGATATTGAGATATCTTAGAGTTGAGAAGCAAGTCTAAACACAAAATTCATTTATGTTTCTATAGACCTTATTCACATGGCCTGAAAGTAATTTTTTACAATATTCAATATTTTGAATAATTTTGTGCATTAAACAAAGTTTGTGTACATTTAGCCATCAGAAAGCAAAGGTGTCAATATCTCAGCCACCCATGAAAAAGTTTAGGATTTTAGAGCATTTTGGATTTCAGAATTCTGGATAAGAGAGACTCAGCCTGTAGCAAGATATTCCTGGGTGTCCTGAGTACTTAATAAAACTATCAAACCTCTGCTCAAGATAAAGACAAGCATTTAGTGCTCTTTGAGGTAGAGAGGCAGAGCTCAAGGATGATCATCTCTACAACTGAGACATTTTCTTCTGTTAGGGACTGACTGTTTCTGTGCTGTCCAGAAATACTTCCATATTAAACTATACAAACATGATTAGTAAAGTGTGAAAGTTGCCAAAGCTGTGAATACTTTGGCAATTGAGATAGAAGATCTAAATGGCATCCTCTGTTCCACCATGATGGTCAAAGCGTAACAAATGGGTGATTTGCTGCCTTTGAAAAACATATCAGAATCTGGTACTTGACCAACTCACTCTGCCAAAAGTCATTCCTTGCCCCAATTAATGCTAAGCACCCACTGTACACTTGTCTGTTTCTTTGATGTATAAATTCCTACTAACAGTATTTTAAAACAGAACAGTTATGTCAGTATAAAAAACCTTGCCCTGGTATCAAATTAAACATGTTTACATCACACCAACATATGAACAACCAGCCCTCTGTGGGAATAATGCATAGCTGGCATAGTTAGTCTGGTGCCTTGTTAATAGGCTGGTAAATCTTAATTAGAGCTGCATACAGTGCAGCCCTGGGGTCATATATGGTTCCCCCAAGGCTGTTTCGCCAGCCCTAAAACCTCCAGACTCCCCAAACTTCTCTTTATCTGCTCCTGTAAAAATAAATAGTCTATTCTGGAATCTGCCATGAGTAGCAATGCATCCTTTAAGCATGAAAAAATGCATTACCCATTTCCCCCAAACTGACATCTGGCCAGTTCCAGGTTCCTAAAGTAGGACTCTAGATTTAGCCTTGTAAACCGCCTAGATTGGTCTGCCACCGGGCGGTATATAAATAAATTTTATTATTATTATTAGATACAGAACGGTTATGTAGCATATTTAGTCCACTGTGGAACAAAAACAAATATCTAAAATCTTGGTGACAGGAAAACATTTCCATTTATCATTCAAATGCGAGAGACCTTAAGTTAGTTATAACATTTTTCACTGAGGTGATATCTACAGATGGTACTAAATATAAATGAGTTCCTCTGCAGGTGTATGAAGTGCGTCTCACATCTCTCCTACCTTCCCTTGGTTTTGTTATATTATCTTGCACTGGCTTTCATATGTTTCATTTCCATGAGTCTTTGAACAGTTATGATTTCTCTAAAAATATGTTTAAATAATACCTTAATAAAGAGCCAGTGTGGTATAATGGTTTGAGCACTGGACTATAATTCCGGAGACCAAGGTTCAAATCCCTGCTCAGACATTGAAACTCCTGGGCGACCTTGGGCACGTCACACTCCCTCACCTTCACAGGGAAACACAGGCAAACACCTTCTGAACAAATCTTGCCATGAAAACCCTATGACATGTTTGCCTGATGGTTGGCATCAGGGTGAAATGACTTGAAGGCACACAAGTCAAACAATGTAGTCTAAGAAAAATAAAATATTTCAGAAGCTGTGTTTTTAAAAAGAGAATGTTAGAAGTTCCTTGCATACAAAAAGTAAGCTATGCTAGGTTGTGAAAAATGTAACACAAAACTTTAACATTTCAGAGATACAGCTATGTTACTCTGGTATATCAGCATGATATTTAAAAAAAACTAGAAAAAAAGTATTAATACAGTGTGATATAAAGGAATTTTTCAACACTAACAGGTTTTCAGCAAAGATTTTACAGACAAAAAAATTAAAACATCTTTAACAATTACTTCCTTAATAAAATAATAGCTAAGATAGCAATCTGTACCTGGCAATTTAATCAACAGACTGAGGGGAGGAACAGGCCACCCCTGAAAGAGCCAGGTGGGCACCACAACTGTGCACTATGGCCCCACTCCAGTGTTTAGTCGGTGTAAAAAAGAAATGGCAAATTACTTCTCCCTTTTGCACCGGCTTTTTCGCCTCTGCCATGGCTTTATGCCGTTCCTCCAAAGCAGCACATGTAAACGCTGCACCATCAGAACACCATGATGCTGGTGCATATGTGATCAGCCATGTGGTTTCCCAGCAGTTGGGGGCGTGCGCTGTCTGAACTCCACCCCCCATGCCACTGGGAAACTGGCACTTACTGCCTGTCTGTTTTGGCCCTGAGTTGATTATTTTAAAACAGAAGGCACACATGTTACATGCAATGCCTCTTTCCTTCTTGCTTCTGGAATTTGGGTCAGGATTCAAGAGCTGGACATCCAGTAGAGAAGGGTGAATCTAGTGGAATTGGGAGAACATGTTCCACTATTCCCAACTGGAGCTCCTACACTTTGGAGCTGGCCAGTGCCAACTAAAAAACAAAACAAAACAATTTTTCAGCTGGAACAGGAGCTGCGAGGATGGGAAGAAAGTTGAAAATTTTGGAGGTTTGTTAATTGGTACATGATCACAGAGTAGTCTCTGACAACTCTGGCTCTTTGGCTTAGTAACAGAGATGAATGCCACTCTATGGTCGGACACGACTTGACAACCTTGTCAACGGGGACCTTTAATTGGTTTTAATAATAATAATAATAATAATAATAATAATAATAATAA